TTGGTGTGTGAACCTGTCCCTGGGGGTGGTAGTTGGTGTGTGTGCGCATGTCACTGGGGGGTGGTAGTTGGTGTGTGTGTGTGTCCCGGGGGGGGTGGGGTAGGTGGTGTGTATGCATGTCCCTGGGAGGGAGGGGTAGGTGGTGTGTGCGTGTGTCCCTGGGGGTGGTAGCTGGTGTGCGCGTGTGTCCCTGGGGGGTGGGTAGCTGGTGTGTGCACATGTCCCTGGGGCTGGTAGTTGTTGTGTTCGCGTGTCCCTGGGGGTGGTAGTTGGTGTGTGTGCGCATGTCGCTGGGGGGTGGTAGCTGGTGTGGGCCCGTGTGTCCCTGGGGGGTGGTAGCTGGTGCATGAGCCTCCCTAGGGGGTGGTGTTTGCGTGTGTCCCCGTCCACAGGGGCTCGCTAGTCAGTTAAATTATTAACCTTTTGCTTTTCCATCCCTCTTGCTTTCCCTGCCAAGCCCAGAATTCTTGTTTTCTTTCTTGGGGGGTTGTGACAGCAGCAGGCTGGGGCTCTGGATGTGACCTCAGCTTCCACCTACACCCAATGCACTCTGCAGCTGGGAGAGGACCTAGATCAGAGCCTAGTCTGGCCACTTACTCTTGGCTCTACGCAGCCTGACAGGCAGGTCTCCGGGCTGCCCCCTGCCCCTGTCCTCGCTGAGCAGCTCCTGTGTGCAGGGCATTTCATCAGCTCTCCCTGCTCGGGGTGACGGGCCCTGCAGCCCGAAAGAGGAGAGAGCCCACTTAGCTGAGTGTGGTCGATGGCCTGTGTCAGTGTCCAGGCAGCAGGACCCTCCTGTGGGGCTCCCCCTACCCTGGACGGTGGGGGGGCAGCCGCAGAGATCGGGATGCCGCGTGCCTTTGCTTAGATCCCTGCTGCGGGTTCCACTTGCGTTACCCTGGGTGGCTGGAGAGGCTCCCGTTTGCTTTGCTCAGGAAATGGGCATCGCTGACTGGCTCTGCCCAACGCAGCTCGGGGGCCAGGCTCACCAGGAGAGGCACAGGCTAGACCTCTCCTTGCAACAATGTATCAACTTTCAGTCCGGCTCATCTACCCAACGGGGAGACGCCGACTCAGAGAATCACAGACATGTCTGGCTGGAAGGGACCTCGAGTCCAGCCCCCTGCGCTGAGGCAGGACAAGTAACCCTAGACCGGCCCTGACCCGAGTTTGTCCAACCTGCTCTTAGATGCCACACCCTCCCTTGGAAGTGCTCAACTCCCCTTAGAGTCCGAGAGTTTTGCTAATATCTAAGCTCAGGCTCCCTTGCTGCAGATTAAGCTGATTACTTCTTGTTCTACCTGCAGTGGACACAGAGAACGATCGATCACAGCCCTCTTTATATCTGCCCTGAACATATGGCAGACTGTCATCAGGGCCCCCCTCCATCGTCTTTTCTCAAGACTAAAGTGCCCCGTTTTTTTGACCTTCCCTTGGGTCAGGTTTTCTAACCCTTTTCTCATGTTTATCATATCCGTTTTAAACCATGTGAATGTATAGGAAGATAATTAGGCGTTTATCACTAAACTAAAAGATAACTGGCAAACCCTATCCATACCAGCCTGCCTTTCACTGCCTTTCCCACTGCCCTGGCCCTGGGGCCTTGCTAACCCCATTCGTCTGGGGGAGAAAGCCTTCAGCAAGCCCTGCTGACTGCGTTCCTAGTGCAGGACGGGAGGCTGAGGCAGACCTGAGAGCTCCCGGGTAACCTTGTCTCTGTCTCCCAGCCTACAGAAGGGTGATAAGGCTGACAAACAACCAGGACTCCTGCAAGGGCAGAGAGCAGCGCACACAGACCAGTCCCCAGTCTCTCTAATCCCAGCAGCTCTGTCACTAAGTGTGCAGTGTCTCTCTGCTGTAGCGATGTGAGATGCCCCACAGCGGGCAGAGCAGCTGGGCCCTTCTTTGCAATGGGACGCTGCCCCGTGCTCGGGCTGGGCCTTGGCAGCGTGTACAGGCTGAGCCCAGGTGGAACCTGGACCCTTGCTCCTTGCCCCCGATGGCTGGGAGTTATCAGGAGCCAGCAGGAAGAGCCGAATTCATGTTAATTAGTAACAAGAGGATCTGATGAAAGGAGAATTCTGGGAGCAGAATACACAGAGCAATGAACTGGAGAGCACAGAGAAAGTGAGCAAAGGGCCCAGACTCTGCACGATGCAGCCAGGCTGGTCGCTGGCCCCTGGCTTCAGCCCCCCACCACTCTGGAGTGCCGGGTGGTTTGGTCACTTGCCCTGCAGCTGCTGATACACAGGGAAATAGCTTCACTCAGATCCTAAAGCGCAGCCATCACTGCATGTCTTGGGGGCATGTGTCAACATCGCCAGCCCCAGGCGGTCACAGATCATGAGTTAGGCCCAACCAATCATGAGATTGGCTCAAAAATCCCAAACGCTGGGTTCTGGCCATTTGCTCTCTGGGCCTTTGGGGGTCAGTAGGATCAGAAGAGGCTAAAATAGGGAAAGAACAAGTTCAAAATTATTTAGACAAGTTAGATGTCGTCAAGTCACCAAGGCCTGATGAAATGCCTCCTAGAATACTCAAGGAGATATCTGAGCCATTAGTGATTATCTTTGAAAAGTCATGGAAGACGGGAGAGATTCCAGAAGACTGGAAAAGGGCAAATATAGTACCAAGCTATAAAAAGGGAAATAAGGACAACCCAGGGAATTACAGACGAGTCAGCTTAATTTCTGTAAACAGAAAGATAATGGAGCAAATAATTAAGCAATCAATTTGCAAACATCTAGAAGATAGTAAGGTGATAAGTAAGAGTCAGCATGGATTTGTCAAAAAACAAATCGCTTCAAACCAATCTGATAGCTTTCTTTGACAGGGTAACAAGCCTTGTAGATGGGGGGGAAGTGGTAGACATGGTATATCTTGACTTTAGTAAAGTTTTTGATACTGTCTCACATGACTGCCTAGGAAGGAGTACCGCAGAAAGGGATCTGGGGGTCATAGTGGATCACAAGCTAAATATGAGTCAACAGTGTAACGCTGTTGCAAAAAAAGCAAACATAATTCTGGGATGTATTAGCAGGAGTGTTGTAAGCAAGACACGAGGAGTAATTTTTCTACTCTACTCCGTGCTGATTAGGCCTCAACTGGAGTATTGTGTCCAGTTCTGGGCGCCACATTTCAGGAAAGATGTGGACAAATTGGAGAAAGTCCACAGAAGAGCAACAAAAATGATGAAAGGTCTAGAAAACATGACCTCTGAGGGAAGATTGAAAAAAATAGGTTTGTTTAGTCTGGAGAAGAGAAGACTGAGCGGGGACATGAGAACAGTTTTTCAAGTATGTAAAAGGTTGTTACAAGGAGGAGGGAGAAAAATTGTTCTTCTTAACCTCTGAGGACAGGACAAGAAGCAATGGGCTTAAATTGCAGCCAGGGAGGTTTAGGTTGGACATTAGGAAAAACTTCCCAACTGTCAGAGTAGTTAAGCACTGGAATAAATTGCCTAGGGAGGTGTGGAATCTCCATCATTGGGAATTTTAAAGAGCAGGTTAGACAAACACCTCTCAGGGATGGTCTAGATAATACTTCGTCCTGCCTTGAGTGGACTAGATGACCTCTCGAGGTCCCTTCCAGTCCTATGGGTCTATGATTTTCAAACTTTTCGCTGCAAAAGTGAGGGCTAGAAAGTTACTGGCTATAAAATGGAAGCTGAGATTCTCATGTAACCTTCGCCACAGGAGCTGGGTTTTAATGTTGTCAGGCACACATGTGACTCGCGAGTTGGTAACACTTCTTGGAACCTTGAACAGCGTTTTAAGTCCCGTCTCCTGTGGGCTGGACTTGGTCTCGGTTGTTGGGTTTAGAGTCTCACACAGATCAGACTGGATGGTCTGGTGTCCCTTCCTGGCCTTAAACTATGACTGTCTGAAGAGGCCTCTCATCTCCTGCCCAGCTGGCTCCAAGGAGAGACTCGCTAGCCAGCTCCTTATTGTGGGGCTGCCGAGGTGTTTGGAAAAGACTCCTCGGCCCACGCCAGCCAGTGGGTTTCAAACCTGGCTCTAGCTGCCTTCAGCTTGGTGCGCACAGGTTTGGTTTAGCCCTGCTATAGTCAGCCCCAGAGCAGGGGCCCAGCAGGTACTGCCTATGCAAAGGCCTTCAGACCCCTCCCAGGCCTGCGTGGGGAGAGGCCGGGGGAGTCAGTCACCTCCTGCTCTTTTGTTTTTTTGACCTTCTGACTGTTTGTTGTCTCCCTGGAGAGGGGCAGGCTAAGCAAACAGTGAGTTCCTGGGACGGGAGGCTGCAGCCCAGCCTCAGCCTGCCGGAGCAGTCCAGGAGCCAGGCGCCATGAGGCTGCTGGTCCCAGCTCTGATGCTGGGTTTGCTCTGCGGAGCTTTTGCAGCTGAAGGTAAGTCTCTGCTCTCCCCTGGGCTGGGCTCCCTGCTGGACAGTCCAGTTCCAAGTGTTCCCTAGCTCCCGCTTCCAGCTAGCCTTTGAGAGAGGGTCTGTGGGGCTGCTGGGGGCTGGGGCTATTGAGGCCTCCAACTGGCCAAGGAGCCCAGGAGAAGCAGCCGCTGAGTTCCCCAGGAGCCTGCTGGGGTTCTGGCCGGGGTCGCCAGGCAGCCTGGCCTGTGGACAGGATCTTTAAAGGAGCAGCCAGTCGCTGCTGACCTCTCCCCACAGGCAGATCTCCATTCACGGCACTAGTCACACATCGCACACCCCACAGCAGGGGGACGAGCAGCCAGACACCCTCAGCTTCAGCCCGTCCTGGGGCTTGGGGAGAAGCACAGCAGGGAGGGTGGGGACAAGGAACTAGTGAAATCCTGCTGCAGTGCACAGGGCTGGCCTGCTACAGAAATGCAGCTGCCTGGGTGGCGGGGCTGACAATAGTCGTGTCCTGTTTAGGGTGACCAGATGTCCCGATTTTATAGGGACAGTCCTGATTTTGGGGTCTTTTTCTTATATAGACTCCTATTACCCCCCCACCCCACCCTCTGTCCCGATTTTTCACACTTGCTGTCTGGTCTCCCTAGTCCTGTTTGCACCAGCAGCCAGCCAGCGCTAGCAGGTGGGGCTGGTGTGGGGAGTCGCTGGCTGCCCCGGGGGCCATGGCTCATTCCCTGGGGGTGGGTTTGCTGCGGTTACTTCCCGGCTGGCGGTTGGCTGTTTCAGAGTCGTGTGTGGGCCGTTGCGAGGATGGTTTCCATGCCCAGAGGAAGTGCCAGTGTGACGCCCTCTGTGTGTACTACCAGAGCTGCTGCAGTGACTACGCGAGGGCCTGCAAGTCGAAAGGTACCTGCTCCTCTGGAGCCCCCCAGGCCCTTTCCCCTCGCCAGGGAGCAGTCACAAGCAAGGCCCGGGCTCCCTGCAGTTGCCATTGGCTGGCTGGTAGCAGGAAGGGCGCCCTAGATTTGCGTGTGGCGATATGCCTGGGTCAGTGAGTGCCCAGCCAGCATGGCCCCTTTCCGCAGCTGCTGTGGTCAGTGGGACGTTCCATTAGGAGGCAGGCTGATGCTGAGCCCCCTTCACTGAGGGACCCTTGTGATTTCCAAGGGGCAGGGAGTCTGGGGGGCTAGAGACTGATTCAGGGGATGGGGAGTGTAGGAGGGACCCTTCTTCTCACGCTGAATGGGAACGTTCTTCTGGCAGCACATGTCACTTCTGGCCCAGCCACTCAGAGCCCCAGCACAGAGTCAGGGCTGTAGCGTCCCCTGGGCTCCCGGCTGCTGACTGGATCATGCCGAGTCTCTCTCTTGCCCTGTGCAGTGACCCGCGGGGACATGTTTGCGTTCCCTGAGGACGACTACATGGACTACAGCACCAATGCTACGTTGGGTGAAACCACAGAGACCCTCGACACAGGGACTGACCCCCCAACCACATCTCCAGACCCAGTCACTGCTGCCACTGTCGATTCAGTCACAGTGCCAGGCAGTGAGGACCACCTGCTGGTCCCCAGTGAGCCGGAAGAGGTGGAGCACGTGCAGCAGGAGGAGGTGGAGGAGCTGTGCAGCGGGAAGCCCTTTGATGCATTCACGGACCTGAAGAACGGTTCTCTCTATGCATTCCGAGGTACTGGCGGGCGAGTGCTGCCCACGGGCACTGGGCGGGGGGCTGCACAGGCTTCCCCCTCCAGGGCACTGACTCGCTTCCATCTCAGGTCACTCCCATCGGCCAGATGCTTGGCGGGGGAAGGTGGGTCTCAGCCCAGTTCCCAGAGATGTCCATGCCATCAAACCCACTGGCTGGGCCCTTGACAGCCTGGACTGACGGGCCTTGGAGCCTGAGTCCCCCACACAGGCAGATGCCGTGCTGGCAGGGCAGAGCCCTGGGTGGCTTGCATTGCCGTGGCTGTACTGGGCCCGGTGAGGGGCTCCGGCTTGGTACAGAGCCTCCCTGCAGATAGCCAGCCTTTCACACTGTGCGCACTCGGGGCAGGAAACAAGGCAGTGGGGGGACTTTGAGGGGGCGGGGGGAGCTGCCCCCCTCACGGCTCCTGTCTCCCTCCTCTCTCAGGGAAATACGTCTATGAACTGGACGAGAAGAGCGTGAGGCCCGGCTACCCCAAGCTCATCCGCGATGTCTGGGGCATCGAGGGGCCCGTCGATGCCGCCTTCACACGCATTAACTGTCAGGGCAAGACCTACATTTTCCAGGTGGGGCCGCAGGCAGGGGTTGGCTAAAGTCCTGCCTGTGCTGCTGCTGCATGGCCTGACTCGTGAGCACCAGTCACACCACCGGGCCCCCCAGCCAGCCGCCGCCGGCTCCTTTGGCTGCCCCACTGACGAGCTGCGAGGCCTCGTCCCCCTGGCCTGGGCCCCTTTGCAGAAGGGCGGCAGGGGGCAGAGCTGACAGGCCAGGCACACAGCTGATGGCCCCGGTCAAAGGTGGGACAGTGACCGGAGTTTGGCAAGAGCCCGTGGGCATGCGCCAGGCAGCCCCATTGGTGTGCAGGGCGTGGCCAGGCCGGTGTCCGGCATGGCAGCGGGGAGAGCGCTAACGGGGGCGGACGCTTTGCTGCAGGGAATTTACATCGCTCAGGGCTGTGGGTTCATGGCCCAGAGTCTTTGTGGCTCTTGAATCCTGCTCCCCAGGGAGGGACATGCTGCCTGGGCCCATGGCAGGCTCTGCCCAACAGCAGCGCCCCCAGCTGACCCTGCCGTGTGGCTGTCTCCCAAGGGCAGTCAGTACTGGCGCTTCAACGACGGTGCCCTGGACCCCGGCTACCCCCGCAATATCTCGGACGGCTTCCAGGACATCCCTGATGACATCGACGCAGCCTTCGCCCTCCCCGCGCACAGCTACCATGGCCAGGAGAGAGTCTATTTCTTTAAAGGTAAATGAGCTGCTTTCCCGGCTGTGTCCCCCCACAGTGGCCCTGGGCATGGTCCCCACACACGGGCAGTGCCCTCCGCTGGTGTTGAGCCTCAGCTCACTGCAGCCCATTGCCCACTGGCCCGGCTGTTCTCGCAGCCCTGCTCTCCGGCAGCGCTGGGCCAGCCCTGGCTGCTCAGCCCAAGGGCACAGGGCACACGGGGCCCAGCAGCTGCAGGGCCCTCGCCTGCGTACCAGGCGGTGGGTGAAGTTGGCGCTGCCAGCTCCAGGCACTCAGAACTCAGGAGAGTGGCTAGAAATGATGAGGGTTTTTGACACTAATAAACGTGGTTTCGCCCATAGCTGGGGGGTGTCTGGGCTGCTCGCTGCACTCGGTCATGGCGCCCAGCTGTATTGTATTGAAAGGAAAACCAGGCGTCTTGCTGCTCACCTGCCTCCAGGGCCTGGGCTGTTACTAGCGCGCCAAGAGGTGTAACAAAACGATCAGCGCTGGCTACGCTACAAAGGCTGCAGAGCCCCTGGCCGCTGAGTGGAGCTGCCTTGTACTGCCAGCCAGTCCCAGTCTGGGGGATGCTCCAGCCAGCAGGATGGCATTGCTCCAGCCTGACAGGCTCCATGTCTCGTTTCCAGACAAGCATTACTGGGCGTACGACTTTGCCAACCAGCCCAGCCGGCAGGACTGCGAGGTGTCCTCCCCATCGCTGGTGTTTGATCACTACGCGCTCATGCAGGGCGACAGCTGGGAGGACCTCTTCCAACTGCTCTTTGGGGGCACCCCGCACAGTAAGTGGGGAGGAACGGCCCAGGTTATTGGCCCGGGCAGAGCAGGTCACTGAAGCCAGAGGGCTGGGGGCAGGGGGAACCAGAGGCCATGGGACACACCCCTAGCATGTGTGAGCTGCTAGGGGCTTTGGAGTCGGGGCTATGCAGAGAGGAAGTGACCAGGTTGGGAGGTCAGGTGCTAAACAGGACAGGCAGGTTGAGGGCCCCTGATCCGGCTCTGGAGTATATTAGACCCCAGTGCTCCTCAGTGGGACCAGCTCCACTCAACAGTGATAGCACAGAGTGCACCCCCACATGCTGCATCCCCCCAGCCCCAAAACACCTGCATCCCACAACCCATGTCCCCGCACCCGCTGCTCCCCCCGTACAGGCGACAGACCAGGACGGAGTCAGGTACCAGGTCCTGTCTGTTTTAACTGGAGCCAATGCTGCAGGGCTGTGCAAGGTGAAGAGAAAGCTGGGGAGGAGGGGAACGGGGTGGGAAACAAGGCTAGGCTCCAGGACCCCTTGCGGCAGGCTGGGTCCTGCCATCACGTCTCTCCTCCCAGCCTGCTCCTTGCCCTGTCACGGGGATTGGGGTGGCTCTGCTCCCCCCGCCAGCTCCTTTCCTTCCCTGTTCTGGAGGCCCGGGGACCCCACTTCCTGACGCTGCCTGTGGCAAGGCTGGGTGAGCCTCTGCCTGCGGCTGGGGCACCAACCCCGGGCAGTGATGCTGCCAGCCAGTCCTCATGCCCACGCTGTGCTGTTCTGCCAGGTGGGGCCAGTGGACCGCGGTACATCAGCAGAGACTGGAGGGGGGTGCCGAGACACCTGGATGCTGCCATGGCCGGCAGGATCTACGTCTCCTCGAAGGCTAGCAGCTGGGCTCGAAGGAGGAAATCCCGCCGGCACCGCAAGAAGTACAGGAGCCGGCGGCCGGCAGCTCACACCTTCTGGGACTGGCTCCAGGATGAATCCGATTCCTCGGACACGGACCCTGACTGGCTGCCCGGGGGCTCCCAGTGCCAGCCCATCCAGAGCGTCTACTTCTTCGTGGCAGGTGGGTCCCAGCGCCATCAGCTCCCCCCAGCTGCTCTCACAGCTGGCCTGACCTAGCCCCGCCCAGCAGGGCTGGGCTTCAGCTTTGCCATGCGGCCCCATCCGCCCCCTTATGGCCACCCTCTCCCAGGGCCCGGCCGTTCTGCTCGGCCTGACTGTGAGCGATGGCGCTGACTTGTGGAGAGGCGCCTCATGGCGGGGAGGAGAGCCGGGGCAGGCTGGGCCTGGACACGGGAGTCAGGCTGCCCTGGCGGGGGCTGGACTCTGCCCAAAGCCTTGAGCAGGGTTGTCCCTACGCTTGGTGGGAGGCGAGGGGAAGCCAGCAAGGCCCGTTCAGCTCCTGCTGCTCTGAGCTGGGGTTGAGGGTGGGGTGAGCAGAGCCCTGGGGGACTGACCGTGACGCCCTTCTCTCCCACAGACAAGTACTATCGCCTCAACCTGCGCAGCAAGCGCGTGGACTTCGTGCGCCCTCGCTACCCTCGCCCCATCGCTCAGTACTGGCTGGGCTGCCCATGAGCGGGAGAGGGGAGCCCCCAAGGGGATGGGCTGCCGCCGTCCCGCCATATCCACAGCAGCTGGGTCTTTCGCTAAAGCCAAATAAACAGGGAGCTCTGTGTCAGCCCTGGGTCGCGTCTGTCTGGGGCAGTGGGAGCTTCGTGGGCAGGGCTGTGCAGGCCACACCCTGGCAAGGCCCCACCTGCCTCCCCAGAGCCTGCAGGGGACTGGGCCCTGTGTCCTGGCCATGCACCGGGACATGGGGCGCTCCACCACGGCACTGAGAGGGTTAATAGATCACTTGGTCCCTTGGTGTGGGGCACATGCTCAGAGTCCGTCCCGCGCGTCCCGCAGGCTGTAGTATTGGAGCTGCTCCTGCAGCGAGTCCAGCACCTCCTCCAGCCGCAGCTCGGGGTCAGCGCCTGCTGCTGGCCGCAAAGGACAGGAGCCATTAGTGCCAGCCCCACCCTGGGCTCCACCCTCCTCCCCTCTGGCTGCAGGGGGGTGTCAGGGAACCAGAGCTGGGGGAAGGGTCACGATTCTGGGATGGGCCCCAAAGCTAAGGAGCTCCCCCTCCCCCGCACTGAGTCAGCTCCATGAAGACATGACTTCCAGGGAGCCTCTGCCCCACATCTCCCTGTGCAAAGCATGCTGGGAAAGGCTTCTCCCATCCCAGGCTCACAGTATCTGCACAGTCAAGGGCCCCCCCAGGGAGCCAGGGACACCCCAGTTCTGACCCCTCCAGCCCGCGTGGGCGGAGCTCCAACAGGGAAACCTCGGCAGCTGCTGCTCTGTCACTGCTTACCTTGGCGCCCTGTGCTGCTGCCCGGCTGCCCTGGCAGGGGAGGGGCTGACGGCGCGACCTGCCCCTCCAAGCCGGGGGCAGGCTCAGGGCCCTGCTGCTGGGTGTCTCTCAGGAGCAGACACGAGCCAGCGGAGCTCTTCCTTCGGCCCAGGCTCCTGCAGCGCAAGCGAGGGCTGGGCTGAGTACTGGGGCCAGGGCTGATGGCCCAGATGGAGCACAGGAGGCCACTAACCTGCCAGAGGCTGCATGTGCAGTGAGTGTGGGGCCCACATCAAATCTGGCCACTGCTGCCCCACCCCTCTGCCTCCCCCCCTGTCCCTGGGTCACCTTCTGATGTGCCCTGAGCCCTGTCCTGGGGGCCTGTGCTCCTGCCTGTACAGCCCCACGGCCGGACTCTCACCTTTTCCCATGGAGTAACCAGGGAGCCACAGGGCGCTGCTGGCTCTGGGGCCAGGGCTGAGCCGGGTCCTCCCATGGGCTGCCCTGGCTGGCCCCCTGGAACCTGGAACCGCTCTGGGCAGTGAGCACCTCCCATGGCGGCAGCTCCATAAGCAGCTGGAAGGACAAGCAGAGCCCTTAGGCTGAAAGCTTCCACTTCCTGTTCCCAGCCAGCCTTGCAGGGGGGTGGCCCATGCCTGGGAGCGCTGGCAGGGCAGCGGCAGGCATGGACAGGAGGCAGTGTCTGCAAGAGGAAGAGAGCACGGGAGGGGACGTGGCGCAGGCGTCCAGCCGTGTGTGCTGGGGCTTAGCTCCGTGCATGGCTGGGGGCGCCAGGGCGGAAGCTGGAGCAGGTGTCCCACTGGAAGGGAGACGGGAGTCCAGGCTCCATGGGCCATCCGTTCTCTGCCCTTTGTGCTGAGCTGGGCCCCACAGGAGCGGCTTTCAGCCAGATTCCCCCAGGCAGAGCCAGAACCAGCCCAGACGCTGGGGCGGCGGCTCCCCTGGGGCTTCACGGCCGGCAGGACACGTCAGGGGCCAGGGCCTTGGGTGCCAAGTCAGACAGGAAGAGGAGACTCACGTGGCCACACTGGGCTGCGCTGGGGGCGGGGCGGGCGCAGGGCAGGGCCTGGACGCTGCAGGAGCCGGGGGCAGCTTCCGGGGAGCGTCGGGCCTGGCCCCAGCTGCTGAGAGCCGGGGGGGACTCTAGGTGCCTGGAACGAAAACGAGACGAGTGGGAGTGGGGCAGCCCCAGGCATCACAACATGCCATCCCAGCCACGGTGCCCGGCGAGGCAAGAGCCAGCAGCCCCACAGCCTGGGGGGGGGGGCCCGGGCAGGGGGGGACTGGGGGGGGGGGGGGTCACCCCAGTGACAGGCAGGTCAGTCACCCAGCCAGCAGCTCCAGGGGCTGGAGGGGGCCTGCGGTTGGCTGAGATGCTGCCCGGAGCAGGAATTCCTGCAACACCCATCTGAGGGGCTCCCCGAGCCTGGCTGTTCTGCCAGGCCTGGGCCTGCGCCTGCCCCAGGGACCGTGGCCCACGAGAAACCCAAGACTGGCCTGAGGGACGGGCCTGGGCTCTGCCATGTCCAGCAGAGAGCCCCTCCCTCACGCCGCACACCCAGCGCATGCCGAGTGCCCCCCCCACGTGCCCAGCACCCCCACACACACACACACTCCGCGCCCCCCGCATGCCCAGCACCCCCCCACACACACCCAGCGCCCCACACACACACCCAGCGCCTCCCGCACACACCCAGCGCCCCCCACACGCCCAGCGCCCCCTACACACACACCCCGTGCCCCCCGCACACCCAGCGCATGCCAAGTGCCCCCCCGCATGCCGAGC